CGCCTCCATGGACAGCTGTGAGTCCAAAATTACTCCCAGGCTGCGCACCTGGTCCTTCAGGGGCACAGTTACCCTATTCAGGACCAGGGAGTCCTCCACACCAGCCCGCCCCCTGTCCCCCCAAAACAGTACTTCTGTCTTGTCAGGATTCAACTTCAATCCATTAGCCACCATCCATCCTCCAACCGCCTCCAGGCACTCACACAGGACCTTCACCACCTTCACTGTTCTGATTTGAAAGAGAGGTAGAGCTGGGTATCATCTGCATATTGATGGACACCCAGTCCAAACCCCCTGATGATCTCTCCCAGCGGCTTCATATAGATGTTAAAAAGCATGGGGGAGAGGACGGAACCCTGAGGCACCCCACAAGTGAGGGCCCAGGGGTCTGAAGACTCATCCCCCAACACCACTTTCTGAACACGGCCCAGGAGGAAGGAGCGAAACCACTGTATAACAGTGCCCCCAGCTCCCAACCCCTCTAGACGGTCCAGAAGGATGTTATGGTCGATTGTATCAAAGGCCGCTGAGAGATCCAGCAGAACCAGGAAACAACTCTCACCTTTGTCCCTAGCTCGCCGGAGATCATCAACCAGTGCGACCAAGGCAGTTTCAGTCCCATGATGAGGCCTGAACCCCGATTGGAAGGGATCCAAATGGTCCGCATCCTCCAGGTGTGCCTGGAGTTGTTCAGCAACCACGCGCTCAATCACCTTGCCCAAGAATGGAAGATTTGAGACTGGGCGATAGTTAGCCATACTGGCCGGGTCTAAAGATGGTTTTTTAAGAAGCGGTTTAATGACCGCCTCTTTCAGCGGATCTGGGAATGTTCCCTCACAGAGGGAAGCATTCACCACCCCGCAGAGCCCATCGCCCAGCCCTTCCCGGCTTGCTTTTATTAGCCAGGATGGGCAAGGATCAAGGAGACAGGTGGTTGGTTTCACGCGTCCAAGCAGCCTGTCCACATCCTCGGGGGTAACGGATTGAAATTGATTCCATGCAACTTGACCAGACAGGGCTCTAGCACTCTCCCACCCCAGCCCTGCTCCCACGGTGGTGTCTAGCTCCTTCCAAATATGAGTGATTATATCGTCAAAAAACTTTGCAAAATCGTTGCAGGAGATCTTTGGGTCTTTACAAGGCCCCGGTGGTAAAGGTGGTTCCGTTAAATTGTGGACCACCTGAAAGAGTCTCCTGCTACTATTTTCTGCAGATGCAATAGAGGCCACTTGGTAGGCTCGACGTTGAGCTCTAACCTGTGTCAGATTCGGAGTGAGTTTTCTGCCACCGACGCTCTAGCCGTCTCAGCAATTGTTTCGTTGCCCTCAGCTCCGAAGAAAACCACGGGACTGTCCGGGCTCCATGCAATCGGAGAGGGCGTTTCGGAGCCAGACAGTCGATAGCCCTGGTTAACTCCGCATTCCAGCAGGCCACCAGGGAATCAGCTGAAAGGCCATCAACATGGGATAAAGCATCCCCTACCACTCTCTGGAAACCATTTGGATCCATTAAATGGCGGGGGCGGACCATCCGAATTGGTCCCACCTCCCTGCAGAGGGGAAGGGTCGCGGAGAAGTCCAGTTGCACCAGGAAGTGATCTGACCATGGCACTTCTTTGGTTTCACTTTTACTTAGTGTCAGATCACCCACGTCACTAGAGGTGAATACCAGGTCTAAGGCATGTCCATGACTATGAGTTGGGCCCAACTTATTCAGGGACAGCCCCATGGAGGCCATGCTTTCCACGGAGTCCCGAGCGGCCCCTTGTAAGGTTGTGTCGGCGTGGATGTTAAAATCCCCTAGGACAACCAAACTAGGTGTCTCCAGGAGAACATCCGCCACGACCTGAAGCAGCTTGGACAGGGAATCCTTGGTGCAGTGGGGATGTCAGTACACCAAAAGGAATCCTGTACTGCCCCTATTGCCCAACTTCCAGAACATGCACTCAGAAAACTGGGTCTTCCCAGTAGGAAGCCTGATGCAAGCTAATGACTTCCTAAAAATCACTGCAACCCCCCCTCCCCGCCCACTTGACCTGGGTTGCTGTGTGTAAGAGAAACCTGGTGGGCAAGCAGCGGCAAGGACAGGCCCATCTGCTTCCTCCAACCAGGTCTCTGTCACACATGACAGGTCAAATCCTCCAACCACAATCAGGTCGTGGATGGCAGTGGTTTTATTCATAATTGACCTGGCATTACACAGCAACACCTTCAGGTCATGTGGGTTTCCCCTGTTGATTCCAGTATCCATCCGGTCAAGGCCAGACCTGGAGGCAGGGATACAACGACTCAAACAACGACTAAACCTGCCTCCTCGGTAATGACATGGTCTGGTCTTAGCGTAACTCCTCCTCCTGCCCATGATCACCGAGATCGGATGTCCCAGTGCTTCCCCCCCTGTGGAATTTGTCCCAGCCATCGTGTTGGCTGGGGCCCCACTCCCAGGCAGCCCTGATCCCGCCCCTTAAAAACAAAACACAAACTATACAGAACCAATAAAACAACAAAAAACAAAAACAGAACAATTATACTAAAATTAATCCCCAACCAAATATCCATCCCACCCACCCACCCCCAACAAAGGAAAAAAGAAATACAAATTTAAATTGCCACCGACTGCTTGAGGACATTTTAAAACACATTAACCACTTGGAACAGGGAAGCAATCGCAGAACACTTCCCAACTTCCCCAAAAGTTTGTTCCAAATAAGGGCCTGGGCCACGCCCCCTGGGCCAGTTGGAAAAGGCCCTGGAAGGGAGCAGGCCCTGCAGTCCTCACCACAGCCGGTCCACCGCAGCAGGAGTCCCTTTATAGCTGGGAGAGAGGGCCTGGGCCACGCCCCCTGGGCCAGTTGGAAAAAGGCCCTGGAAGGGAGCAGGCCCTGCAGTCCTCACCCAGCCGATGGTTCAAGGCCTCACCCTTGATGCTTTAGTTTAAAGCATCAAGTTAGATGGTAAATGACCAACTAATTTATTATTGTATGAGCTTCTGTGGACCAGAGTACACTTTATTATAGAGTCTATAGAGTCTAACAGCAATAGCTATATAAGTGGTCTGAGCAAAAATGGTCAACAGAAACTTTTAACATCACATTCATAAAATCGTATCATCATGCTCTATGTTAAATGCCACCTCCTTAGCACAAATATGCATTAAAAGGGTGGAAAAGCCCACCCCTTTCAACGTAGTCCTTAAGTGTGTTTACTCTTAAGCCCCATCCAGCTCAACGGGCCTTATTCACTATCAAGTGTGCTTAAGACGGCAACCTTTAATAATATTTATTCGTATCATTGTGAGCATGGTAGGCAATTAAAAGTGTTGAGATATAACTGCTTTCCTCCAGGTAACATACTTTATAAATATAATGCAATCAAATCAATAATTCTATAGAAAAATATTGTGCAACTCAGCATATCACATACTGATCAGCATATAATTATATCTAGTTTCTCAATGAGGTTTTCCACACTATAACCAAATATTTAAAATACGCTACACGAAAAAGGAAGCTAAATATTTTCAAATGTGTTATACTTACTGTGCTTTTTACAAATTAATATTCCATTTGCTTCAAGGTCAGACATCTGCATGTCACATGATAGAAGCTGGTAGCACGGTATCCTTCAACATAATCTCTTTGCTATCAGATATACCATTGAGATAAAACACCCTTTATTATTGGGTGTCCAACTTGAATCTAATGAAGGGGCGGCAATATTTTATTATTCTTATTTGCTATGCTCATGTAAACAAAAAAGGATGGGTGGGATATGGTGTATAATTTTTAGAAAAGGTGCATACAGGTGTGAGGAAGCAGAGTCCTACTATAGCTTATCTCTCTGTGTTCTGTTATTTCAGGCACTTTTCTTCTGGTCTGGTTGCAATGCCAGATGTCAGCCAGGCAATGAGAAAAGTGTCTGAAGTGATGGGGCACAGCAAGGTAAGGTGTGTGTATGTTTATTTGTTAGGATGAACATAAGCAGCTGTTCTACATTGAGTTACACTTTTAGTCCATCTAGTCTTGTCTGCACCAGGGTTTCCCAACATCCACTAAGCCCTTGATGAGCTTATAAAGCTGTTGCTGATCCCAAACCAAATTCTTAGGAATGTAAATGAAGGCAAGTGAAGAAATATCAATATATAACCAACATTTATTAATCAATCAATCAATCAATCAATCACTATTACTATGAACCATTATATATATAGTGAAAAAGTGCAAATAACAACAATACATACTTTTTAATCTTTTCTAATGAGCTTCAGCAAGTACATGAATATTTGGCTGTAGGTATCACTGTTCCTTAATGTTCAGCTCATTTCTCTGTTTGTTCAGAAGAGCACAAATATATATGAATCCAGCTTTAACTCTGTATGGACCTGAATATGCTTGCAGTGGTTTGGGTATTTGACAGCAGTTCTCACTGCTCTAGCAACCACTGAAAAGTGCTTTTGCCTCAAAATTCATGCTCATTTAGATGAATTCCTGCTGTAGGTTAGGCTCCACATTTGCACTTCCTGTTTGCAAGTACAGCAGAGAGACATCCTAATCCAATCAGAAAACTGCATCCTGTAATTTCAAAGTATAGAAAACAAAAAACCTTAAAATATTAGAAGCATATACAGTCATACCTCAGGATGAATATGCTTTGGGTTAAGCATTTTCGGGTTGCGCTCCGCAGCAACCCGAAAGAAACGGAGCCCGTTACTTCCGGGTTTCACCACGCGCGCATGCGCAGACCATCAAAATGACGTCACACGCACGCGCAGAAGTGCTGAAGCGTGACCTGCGCACGCGCAGACACAGGTTATGTTCACTTCGGGATGCGAACAGGGCTCCGGAACGGAACCCGTTTGCATCCCGAGGTACCACTGGAGTTGGAAGGGCCCTTGAGGGTTATCTAGTCCAGTGTTTCCCAACCTTGGGCCTCCAGCTGTTTTTGGACTACAACTCCCATCATCCCTAGCTACCAAGACCAGTGGTCAGAGATTATGGGAATTGTAGTTCAAAAACAGCTGGAGGCCCAAGGTTGGGAAACACTGATCTAGTCCACCCCCTGCAATTCAGGAAAGGTGTGTTGTATAGATCAATAGGTCATTGTCTGAAGTACTATTCTCAGCTCCCCATTACAGGTGCAGCAAGTTTGTGAAATAGTGGTATTATAGTTTGAGTTTGAATGGTAGTAATGCCTTTCCTTTGCAGGCTTTTTTGTATTTCATTAAATTTGCAAAATAAGACATGATCTTTATAGTGCAACAACTCATTACCCAGTGATGGTTCCACATATTTCAGAGGTTCTATAGCTGAATTGGCTAGTCTTTGTAAACAATCTTCCTTTTAGAGTCACTGTACTTTTGTATGCAGAAGCAGCTGGGTGAAATTTTTACTATTACTTTCACTTAACATGGCAAAAGGCCACCTGAGCCTCAAATGACAGCAAGGGATCCAGGAGCACCCACAAGCTATGTACCCACTCCTCCAGAAGGAGTGTAACCCCATCAAGAGAAGGCAACTGCCCATCCATTTGGTATAGGAAACTACCCACTAACTGTGCCTCAGTGAGCTTCAATTTGTTGACTCTCATACAATCTAATAAAAAACAACGGTCCAGCACACCCATGTAAAGGAGAAGTAGAGCTGTGTGCCATCAGCATATCGCTGACAACAAACTCCAAAACACTGGATGACCCAACTCAGTGGTTTCATGTTAATGTTAACTAGCATAGGGGATAAATTTGAACCCTGAGAAACCCCACAATGAAGGGCCGAAGAACATGATATAAGTATCAACCTCTGGAATAGACTATCTGACCACTGAAAAGCAGTGCCACCCACCTACCCCAACTCATACAGCTGCTCCAGAAGGATACTATGGTCTATGGCATTGAAAGCCACTGAGAGGTTGAGAATTAACAGGGACACATTTCCCCCCTCTCCTGACAGAGGTCATCATACAGGGTGACCAAAGGAGTTTCTGTGCCCAAACCAGACCTATACCCCAATTGAAATGGATCTAGAAAATCAGTTTCCTCCAAGAGTGCCTGAACCTGATCTGCGATGATGCAATCAAGAAGAGGAGATTGGCAACTGGCTGGTAATTACTTAAGATTTTCTGAATCCAGGGAAGGCTTCTTAAGGGGTGGTCTTACCACTGCCTCCTTCAAGCAGGCAGGGACCATCCTGTCTTGCAGGGAGACATTAACCACCTCCCTAGCCCAGCATGCTGTCCTCTGCCTGATAGTTTTTATCAACCATGGGGGCAAAGATCCAGAGGGGAAGCCGTCCCCCGACTGATTCAAGTACCTTGTCCACGTCCTTGAGCATTACCAATCATGAGAACTGGTTCTACACCAGAGCTGTTTACAGCCCACCATCTGTATCTCTGTGGTAGTTCCAGAGTAGGCTCCATGACCAAGAACTACAGGGGCTGACAGCGCAGTGGTGTGATTCCTAGTCACCTGGAGCTCCAAGAGTGCTTTAGGCTTTGGAGGGGCTCAAAATGATGGAGAATGTCCAAGATGGAAGTGGCAAATTTACTCCTCAGAGACAAGAGAGTTCTGGACTGCAGACAACTGCAAGCAAGAAACATTAACATGATATTTAGTTCAAAAATAAAGTTCTTTATTTACTTTGGGGGGATCCACAGTACTTGCCAATCACTGCTGGTGTCCCACTGGAAGCAACTGCTGCAATATTACATGTGCATTGTCGTATTTCTCAAAATACTCCTCCAAGCACAGGAAGATCGCCTCACCCTTCAAGTCAGTTTTAAATAATTTGGCAAACGGAAACACACTGAATGTGCACCTTTTGCTGGTACCGCAATACCTTACATAAGTCAAAAGACTATTACAATTTCCAAACACGGACTTGCCCAGCTGGATAGGAAATTAAACTGTTGAAGTCACTGTTATTTGAACATCATGGGCTACCTCATCAACAAGGTGCTGAGGGGAATTGTTATTCAGTGCAATCCTCTTCAAAACAGGTCCTCCATTCAATTTCATAACCATTTGTATAACTACTTTTCTGGCTAGTAGAATGAGCTCCTTGCCAACATTTTGCAGCTTTCCTTTCTTTGCAATTATAATGGCAATATAGCATGGTCTGAAATACTGCTGTATTGTAAGATCATTTTATTTTAAAAGGATTCGTCATTGGCAAGGGAAGTGCACTCTGTACATGGTTACACTACTTATTGGGAACTATGAAACTTCAAAAGCTCTACCATAAGAGCTACAGCCGTTCTCCAGTCTTATTTCCTTCAGACACCTTTTGCAACCCCCAACTTCATATAGGGCAAACAAACATGGCTGCCCCCAGGGCTTTTTTTCAGTCAGAGCTCACCTGAACTCAGCTCTGGAACCTCTCAAGTAGGTGCCATCGCCATTCTAAGAGAACAGAGGAGAATTTCTTGGTGAGCTCTAGCACCTCTTTTTCTAGAAAAATTGCACTGACTGTCCCCATCATTAACTCATTGGGCCCCAGATGTGAGCCTTAATTCTTTCTTAAGCAATGAAGTGGTATGGCTGGTCTGGAATTTTGGGTGGGATTTTTCATATGTTGCAACACTTCTCCATACAAAAACCAGCACCATCACTCCCTCCCTCCATGTGGAAACCTTACACAGAAGCTAGGATGGTGTCTTCTCCTTGGCAAGATAATTTCCTTACACAAAGGAAATACTTTTGGACGTGGAGTATTTCATCATACGAATCCCTATATGTAGTCAGGACACCACCCCAGTGAGGACAAATTCCGAGGGCATGTATACTGACTGGCCAAAGGAAGAGGCAAGGCAAGACCATGCTGCATCCTGCAATCTGTCACAGCTGGCGCATCACTGCACCTGGAACACTAACCCACGCCTACTAAACAAGCTTATTTTAGGCAAAGAAACGGCCAAAAGTTATTTGGGCAGGGCAGAAGAGCATGTAACTTCTTCTCGTTCTCTGATGTCCGAGCTGCCATTCTCCAGCTGCCTCTCCTGGCCTGGAAGCAGCACCCAGATAGGCGCCAAGCCCTCACAGGCTCCAGGGACTTCCTCGCTGCTGGGCTCCTCTCAGACGTCTCCGCCCCAGGCTTCTGCTTCCAGGCAGGTAGGCACAGGATCGCACCTCAAACCAGGGCGCAAACCGCTCCGCGGGGTTTGCTTTGTGGGTTCTCTCTCAGAAACGTCTCTTCCTCTTTCCTCACAAGCCAGGCAGCTGCTTCGCAAAATAATAGTAACAAAATCCGCCTCGCAGAGAAAAGGGGCGATCCCAGGATCAGCGCGCGCGCGCGACATCCGCGAAAAGGCGACACAGGTCACGGCCAGCGAGCTTCCGCTTCTTCCTCCACGCGTCGAGAAATGCGTCACGTGTGAATACTTACCTCAGCCTTTCCAGAAAAAAAATATCCCCGCACCCCCCCCCCAAGTCCCTTAATTTCCAGAGCCCAAACGGAAGCGGACCCCTCGCTAAGGCCCGGCGGCCGCCGCGCAGCACCCCGCTTCCCTCAGGAGACCGCAGCCGCCGGCCGTGGCGGGAGGCAAGAGGACCGCGGGACTCCGGGGGAGAAGGGGGCGCGGGGAGAACCAACCCACCCACCCTCGCCTCTCCCCGCGAGCCCGCCGGTCTCCCTTTCTCCCTGACAGAAAACGCCCGTACCACTCGGCTCCCGCCGCGGCCTTGTCCTCTTGCCGCTGCTGCCGCTTGAGGCGATACGAAGCCGGGGTGGGGGGAAGGGGCGGGAGGAGGAGGAGGAACCGACTTGCTTCCGGCCCAATGAGGCTTCGCGTCGGACGTTCTGGCGGCGGCGGACGTCAACGGTGCCGGCACGCGCACGCCCAGCCTCGGCTCCTCCCCCTCCACCGCCATCCTCCCGAGGGGCGTGGGCGCGGGGCGGGGCCTCGAGGGTCCCAGCATGTTCGGCTGCGAGCGGGGGCCTGAACGGCTGGCTCGGCTGACTGACTGACTGACGGTGTATGTGTGTGTGTGAGAGAGAGCGCGAGAGCGCGTGCGCGCGCCGGAGAAAGCGGGAGAGGGCGCGAGCGAGCGTGTGTGTGTGTTTGAGAGAGAGACGGGAGAGGGCCATGGCCGGAGCTCAGTGACTGACTGACTGACTGACTGACAATAGGGACGAGCGAGAGCTGCCGCAGCCGCAGCGACAGAAGGCGGGGAGAAAGGGAAAGAGGCCGCCCGAGAAAACCTTCCGCAGCGGCAAGAGCAGCGCCCGCCGCCGCTTCTCCTCCCTCCTCCTCCTCCTCCTCGCCGCACCCCGAACGAAGGCAGCTCGGGCCGCGCTCGCCCTCCTTCCCCGAGGCCGCCTCGCCGGGAATGTGAGAGAAGCCGCCGCCTCGGCTACAACCGCAGGAGGAGGAGGAGGCCTCTCGGGCGGCCGCCGCCGTGTCGTTGGGGGGCAAGGAGGGCGGGAGCGGGCCGAGGGCGGCAGCGCATGGGACCGGAGGGAAAGACGAGGAGAAGCCGCCGCCGCCGCTCTCGCCGCTGATTCCCGAAGCCGCCAACGCCGCCCTGCGCTGGGGGAGGCCGCCGAGGCCTACCAGGCTGCCGCTGCTCCTGCGGCAGGAACCGCGCCGCGGCCAGAGAGAGGCGCAGGCACACGCGCGCCGGCCCGGCTCGCCCTCTCCGCCTCCGCCGGGGATCGGGGCCTTGCTCCTCCTCCTGCTGCTGCTCCTTTTTTCTCCTCCTCGTCTCTGGATTCTCTGCCGGGAGGGTTCAAGGTAACTTCCAGAGAGAGAGAGCAACCGCCCGGCCGCGCGTGTTGGGAGCGTTGAAGGGAAGGCGCGAGGGAATCGCCCCCGATCCGCCGGGACGAGGTGTTTCCCCCCCTCCGGTCACCCGGTGTCACCGAGGGGGTCGCTTCCGTCCCTCTCTGCCCGCCGGTGTTTCCTCCCCGCATTGCCTCTGACAGCCGGTTGCTCCGCAGGCGCCCAAACGCCGCCTCCCCGCCGCCCCCCTCGCTTAAAAATAATAACGGTAATCCCCGGCTTAAGCCTGCGCTGGCCCAAGGGGCTGAGAAGGGAAAGCGGGCGGTGGGGAAGGGAAGGCCACGCTGGGATATTAATAACATCCCCCCCCCCGCGGGCGCGCAAACACAAATAAATAAGATCTATTTCTGCGTGATTATGTCCAAGGAGATCCGAAAGCGGGAAGGGCCCCTCTTGTCCTCTTCCGCGCCCCGCGTTGCCTGCCGACTGTCGCCTGGGCTCGTCGGGTTAGAATTAGACCCTTAACGAAGCGGGAAAGGGGGGGGGCGTTGCTAAATTTACAGCCGAGAAGGGCCGCCAAAAGCTTCTTGCTGACACAATGATCCCGCCGTCGAAAGGATCAGCTCGAGGGCTTGTCCATTAATACGGTTAGCCGTTCCATTTTGAGACGCCGCGAAAATATTCCAGGAGAGATGGAGACGTAGTCCTAAAGGGTTGTTGACAATGCGAGGATAAACCCCTGCCAAGCAGGCCCGGAAACCTCAAGAGTGCAGCACCAGCCTTTGCATGCTTATTCAAGAGTGAGAGCCAGGTTTCCCTCTGAGTAAGCATGCTTTGCATTGGGCTGTGAGTGCAGGGGTGTTTTTCTGAGTTTCGGGTTCCCACCTGAGGACCAATAACATCCTTGTTGTTTGTGTGGAGCTTCTTTCAAATATGGCTTACAGGCTAGTTTTATACATCTTCAGTTTGGAAAACTGTGGCCTCACATCTTCATGGTATATTTAATATTTTAATTTTTCATACTTAAATTGATAACCATAATAATAACACAGTATCATTAATCTTTTACGAGCAAGCTGTGTTATTCAGGATAACGATGCCGCAACGGCCATGAGAATGATAAGTTGATAAAAGTATGGATTGTTGTAGATAAAGCTGCTCTCACTGCTGAGTGACAAGGGCTTGTGATTCCTTGTAGAGGTTGAGAGTACTGTAGTTGTTGTATACACAATTCTGACACACACACACACCCCTGTGCTTTTTACACAGCACTGGTCATCTTAAAAATCAACATGGAACTCTCATATATGAAAGTTCAACTTTTGGACTGACACAGGCCAATCAACATTTAAATCAATATTCAATGATATTTTATAATTGCAGTAATGCCCTTTGTCCTGCAAAGGTCTTGTGTGTATAGCATAGTCCCATTGACCAGTAATGTGTCCTGTGTTGATTTCAGTGCCCACTATTTGCAGTATGAGATCTTGCTATTATGTTTGCTGCTATTTTAAAATAGTAAATCATAAGTAAAAAACTTTATTATTTTAAAAGAATATAATATGACATGTTTAAATAATCCATAATGGCAATATCTTGTGTTTCCTTACATGTAAGGAGAAGGTGATGTAATTTTTAAAAATTGATCTACTTAGTGAGGTTGTGGGTTCACAGGGGTTCATTAGTTTTAGGGTTTCCTGGCTTAGGGCAAGGAATTGGACTACAACACTCCTAGCACTTCCCCCAATTTCAGAGACTCAAGAAATGGGAAGCAAAAGAAAAAGGGAATTGCAGGTTAGCACCATAGGTAATGGACATGATACCTCTTTGACTAACTGAACTCAGTGTCAGACTCACATTGCCATTGAATAACTTTCATTACATGTAAATACTTAAATGAAGTATAAAATATCATCAGATTAATTTAGGGGTATCTGGAATATTGTATTTATGCAATAAGGACTGAAAGGCTCATTATTTATTTCCAGAAACGATTCCTAATAGGAGAGTTCATGCCACCCATTTAAAGATGTTGTGAATTTGCTTTCCCTGTATTGCTTGCATAATTGCTATGATGCATGAAGGAGAACTTAAAAATATCATCAAAAAGAAAAAAAGTGAATTGGAGCAAGAATGAGAAAAATAAAGACTGGTGCAGCTGCATATATGTATGTTCATTGCACTGGTCTCTTATTATTGAGGGATTCTTATTGCATGTATCTTGTCATACTAGGACTGGATGGACCAATGGACAAATTGGATTGCCCTCTAAGTCAGTTTCCCAAACTAAACTCTGCAGTTAGAGACAGATTTCTTGCTAGTATGATCTTTAAGGGGCGGTGAAGTGTGTGTGTAATATTTATTGGAAAAATTCTTAAAGATCTTCGTTCCTTTCAGTAGGGATATGTCCTCAGCACCAACCACTCCTCCATCAGTGGATAAAGTAGACGGATTTTCTCGGAAGTCCGTCAGAAAAGCCAGGCAGAAGAGGTCGCAAAGTTCCTCCCAGTTTCGGTCTCAGGGCAAGCCTATAGAGTTAACTCCACTGCCTCTGCTAAAAGGTAAGGCTCTACCAATCTTTATCAGTTGGAAAACAATGTTTTAATTATAAATAAGTTGTGGAAGAGTCAGATAATAGTTGCTGTTTGCAGAAAGAAATCAAAATAAAAAAATTCCTTCCGGTAGCACCTTAGAGACCAACTAAGTTTGTTATTGGTATGAACTTTCATGTGCATGCACACGAAAGCTCATACCAATAACAAACTTAGACATCATCTATGAGTTTAAAAAGATGCCCAGCCAGTTGCTAAAGGTCAAGTGTGGGAATGAGAGGCCTGATCCAACTGGGATCCTGCCACAGAGGGAATGGGGCGTCAACCTTTGGCCTGACCCCTCCTGCTGGGGTTCAGATCTGGACTGGGCCCTCTGCTGCTTGCTGTTTTCTTGGCAGTTGGCCCCCACTTGCTCCAATGGGAGGTGTGTGCCCCACGCCATGCAGGTACGGTAGGCCCAATCTGGATTGGGACAGGGAGGCAAAGAGTTAAAGCCCCCTAATCCCACCACCTAATCTTGTGCATGCACACAACAGCTCATACCAATAACAAACTTAGTTGGTCTCTAAGGTGCTACTGGAAATAATTTTTTTTATTTTGTTTCGACCCTGGCAGGCCAACACTGCTACCTACCTGTATGCAGAAAGAAAGTTCACACTGGATTACAGTGAACTATTTAACTGCTCTATAGGTGTGTAATATATGTGTAAATTCTATTGATGCTTACGTTGAATAACTGATTGCCAGTTCTGTTTATTGTAGTGTAGTTGCAATATTAGCAGACAGTGCATGTGCTGGGAGTTTAGTGGTTGATCACACAGCCTGATTATTTTCTGCAGCATTTAAGCTTTGACAATTTCTGCAGTTTCATTAGGAATCTGGACCATTGAAAAATCAGGGAAGCTTTTGTATATATTCTCTACCTTTCTCATTTTTATTGTTGGATCTTTTCAGCCTACCAAAAGTGTGCAAACATGGAAAATAGACGCTGTGTTTACTAACAGATAATTCTAGTAACTTGTACCGTAGTATGAAATGTTTAATTTTGGAGCTGCCAACTTTGTTTTGTTCTGCAGCTGCTTATATTTTCTGTTCCTTACACTTAGTCAACTTGCAATTAGCAAGGTATGGAATACTCAGTAATTTAACAAAGATGATCTCCGCATATATTGTTTGAAGGCACATAAGAATCTGGTTACATGGGTTTCCACTGCCTTGGGTGCAATGATGGAAGAACGGCTAGCTATAAATGTAATAAAATAAAATAAAAACCCTGTTTTCTTTGAATAGCAAGTGGAATTTGTCAAGCATGTGCCAGAGCAGGCTTTATGAAGGACAGATGAACATATTCCATGTGACTGACGTGAGGCCTTGTCCAGGCAAACTTTGTTGTGAACCTTCAGGCCAGGCTGCGTTAAGAGGGACTGGGTGACAGAAGCTTGGTCATGCTATACTTAGCTACATTTAAACAAACCTCACATAGGGTAGAGGAGGTTGCAGAACATGTAATCTTGGCTAATGCCATTTAGCTTGCCCGAGGCCTAATAAAACCAAGCGGGCTTCCCTCTTCTTCCTCTGAAAGTAGATTAACAATGAGAGAAGTTGGGAAGCACTTGACAAGTTAAATACACCTTGTATGTTTTTGAGTATGGTTGACACAGTGAACTTGAATACTCATCTTCTCCATTGTGGTCATTCATTGATTCACGTTGTGAAGAACTGTGTTAGACACATGACACTTGATTTCTTAAAAATGTCAGGTACCAGCACTCGAAAGTTAAGGCAAGAGTTCATATGGGCAAGGGAGGATATGGCTTGGCTAAATAGGCCAGGTATCCGATGGGAAATAGTTGTGGGAGGCCAAGAACAGGAACGTAGAATGTTGATCATGTTCATGCTCAGAAATGAGTTGCCCAGACTAAGTTTGTGTAGGGTAGGCTTTAGAGCTATATAATGCAAATGAATAATTAAAAAAATGGAGAACAGGAATTGGAGTGGGATTGGCTCTCCTGTATCACTTGACTCTCAAACTCAGCAGTGCCTGTCAGCCTGATCTGAAATGACGAGTTTTCTTGAGTGACAAGCAGCTATAGTGGCACAAGGGCCGGAGGAATTGGTTCCTGTTCCTGCAGGGCTCCTAAATTAAAGCCCCTCAGCACCTGATACAAGAAGTGCTTAGCTACGACTCCAGATTCCATCCAGACTGATGCTCCTTTCTAAAAATTCTCATCAAGAATCTGACACAAAAACTTGAGTTTTCAGCTGTCCATCATCAGCCAGCACTGTTCTACCAAAACAAAAATGTTCTTCAGTGTGTTGAATTACCTGACTTTCCAAATATTTTTGCCGGCCTGTGTGGCATTTTGGTAAACAAATCAGTGTTGCATTTCAATATTAATAGAATCTTCTCAAAGCTCATGGGTCTGCAACTTCAGTTGCATTTTGCATGGTATGTGACAACATTGAAAGTGTATGATCACAGGAGGTTGACTTGGTCGTTCGGTGGTTATAAAAACTTTGGCAATTCACAGATCAAATGGTGGTTAAATGTGTTAAAGTTTTAGGCTAGTTGAACTACAGTTCAAAGGGAGATGGTAGTTCTAATTACAAAAACCCAGATTGTTTAGTTATTATGAATAGGGGAAACAATATTCTAAATCAGCTATTGTTTATAGCTTGCTGAAGTGGACAGAAATTGAACTGGGTCCTTATACTTGCAATGGATGATATGACTGACAGATCTATGATCTCTTGTTGTGCAGATATAAATTTATGTCTGTGATGTATAAGAGATCAAATAATTACTTTCAGATTTTGCTTGGCACTTCAGGGATAGCATGTATGTAAAGGCAATGGTTTTAAAACGTGGATATAGTACTGGCCAGGAGATTCCTTCTCATAACTGTGGAGTTCATGTGTACTACGTAGGGCTGGGCAACAAGAAATACACAGCATTAGTTATTGGAAGGCACCATGATACAATTTAAAAAGTTGGCTGCCCATCTACATAAAACATTATTAACATTGTGGAAAATTTAACCATGGTCAATTGACTAGCTTCTCAAACCTTTAAAGACATCAGAGGGGTGCAGGGGCTCTCAGATGCAGGTGCTGGGCTGCCTCCACCTTCCCCGACCCCAGCCCCTTTTCTGCCTGATTGCCTTCAGGTGGTGTAGGGGCTCTGATGCTGAGGTGGGGGCTCCTTTGAACTTTTCCCTTGAGGGGAGCGGAGCCACGCACCCCTCAATGGAAAAGTGTGAAGGAGCCTGCACTTCTCCAGCTGAGCAGCCCCAATCCAGCTCCTGCTCCCATGCAAGGAGGAGCAGGATGGGACTCTCTCAGCTGGGAAGGAACGAGAAAGCTGCTCCATCTCACTCCTACTACAGTGGTACCTCTAGTTATGAACTTAATTCGTTCCGGAGGTCCGTTCTTAACCTGAAACTGTTCTTAACTAGAGGTGTGCTCTCGCTAATGGGGCCCTCATGCTCCCGCTGTGCTGCCGGCACACAATTTCCGTTCTCATCCTGGGTCAAAGTTCTCAACTCGAGGTAACTCTTCCAGGCAAGCAGGGGCGGGGATCTCTCAGCTGGGGATCTCTCATGCTCCCCAGCTGAGCAGCCCCCACCTCGCTTTCAGCCCTCCAGATGCTGGGCTGAAAGCACCTCAGGTCCTACCTGAGAACTGAGGCAGTTTCTTCTAGTGCACTGCCAACTGGGGCCAGTGCAGCTTGTTTCAACATGGCGGTTTATCGCCAAACTGCAATGTTTTGCTGGTGATATATCACAATGTTGAAAACCTAACATCGCCCAGACCTACTCTGGAGCAATTTCTGAGCATATATGGGGCTACAGCAGAGAGATGAGAGCTAGAAGTCCCATTGTGTAAGCAGGTGGACATCATTCTATGTCTCCTCATATTCAGTACAAAACAATGCAGCTCTTAATTATTATTATTGGAAGAAACTTGTAGCCTGAAATGGTAAACTTAAATATCCATGTATGTATACGTTTCTGAGAATACTTTTTTTAAATAAATAAATCTGCACAAGATTAACTGGTTGATAAAATAATTGGAAAATAAGCAGAATGTGGTCGCATCAGCCTTCAAGCTTGCAATGTATATGAAGAGCACATTGTCTGGGGTTGGCCTTTGTTCTATTTAGAATATTATTCTTTGGTCATATAATAGGAATACTGAGTTTCATGTGCTGTATAATTTTTCACATGCCTGTAATGGAGGAAGTCATTATACAGTTACGGGACTGAGAAAATGTTTCAGATTTCTTGATACCACCACTACATTGCACAAGGGTGAATAAATATTTAATAATTGTGTTTATATATTCTATTTCTTAAGTGTTCAGAGCATGTCACATACTTAACAGGGCTGCTGTAAGGGTTACTGAGATAATGTAGGTCTGTATTTGTATCCCCGTATTGCTTGGGGGGACCTAGGCTAAGAGAATTGTGATTTGCTTAGTTTAAGGCAGCCTAGCAAATTAATGGCTGTAGTAAGATTTGAATGGGGACTTCCTTAGTCATAGTTCTGTCCCTCTTAAGAATTTGAAAGTTAGTTTAACAAAGTGCCTAAGTGCTAGCAAAACATTACCTGGAGGTGTCCCCCCCCCCCGATTTCTTCATCTTGGACTTTTAATTTTTTGTACGGAAACCGGAAACTCCCAATGGGCTAAAGATAGGTCAATTCAGGGCTTTTTTCAGCTGGAACTCACTGGAACTCAATTGTGGAATGAAACATTTTGTTAAGTAAAATGAAAATAGTATGTTCATATCAGACAGGTTTTAGATGCAGGTGTGGGAGGTGCTGTGGATGGGGTGGGTTTAAGATTACCTAATGAATGGGAAGATTTGAAGTGGGGATTTCTGATTTGTAGTTCAGTTTGTGTAGCCACTGTGCTACATGAATTTTTAAAAAGGTTTCTGAGTTTTGGCCGTTTGCTTCCCTTCTGTGAGATGGTGATGTTTGAACCCATATCCCCAGAGGCATAAAGT